GACCTAAGGGGAGGGTCCTAAATACAGACCAACTTGCTGCCCAGAGACATTCCTCACGGGGTGAGAAGGGCAGAGCAGGAGAAGGACCTGACTCGCAGCAGCAGAGGGAGGGTGAGCACCTGCTCGTGGAGCAGCGTGCCGCCATCTAAGATGTTTAGGAAGAGTTTGTAGGAACTTGGAGAGACCGGTTACATATTAAGTGATGAACAAAGCTCCCAAACTGGTTTTAAAAAATCCTCGACTTTTCTGTGTTTTCTAGTTTTTCTTTAATTATGTATCACTCTGTAATTTGAAAGTGTAAGACCTTTATATACCATGGCGACGTATGAAATAATGATCCTGCGTTCCTACAGATACATTTGCTACAGTTCCATGGAACCAAATATGCGGCCATTGACCCATCAATGGTCAGTGCCGAGGAACTCGAGGTGCAGAAAGGCAACCTCAGCATCAGTCAGGAGGAGCAATAGCTGCGGCTGTGGCTGTTCGCGACGAGTGATCCGGCGCGTCCTTGTACAATCAGTGACGTCAGCGCCCGCCAGGCGGCCTCTGTTGGGTTTGTCAGCTTCACCGGTGATCACTGTGTTTGGAAGCAGGACTGATTGTCATCTTCATGGCAGGCGGCAGCTCTTCTAAGCCAGTGTAACTGTTCCCTCTTCGGTTTTTTTAGCTTTTGAATTTGAAGAAGTACTTTTGAAGACTCCCATTTTAAGAATTGTGAAAATTTTGCTACCAACTGTCTTCCCCACTGAGTTCTTCAGTCAATGTTAATTTCTGAAGTTGGGGGTTTTGTGGGGTTTTTTCCGTTTCTTTCCTCTCTTCCTTTCTTTCTTTTTATGTTATTTGCTGCAAATGCAGCACATCCAGATTGTGTGTCAGAGGACGTTGGTTATTTTTACGCTTTCTGGGTTATAACCGTTATCCGAGTGCCAAGGCTGTCACCCCCATTTGCTCTCCTGCAAATCAACTACTTCTAATTTCCAGTTAAGCAAATTGTTTTCAGTTTTAGCTGTTGTCTTTCTAGCCATTACAGTCATTTGGAATAAAAATTCAATTTCAGTGAGTGATGTTTGTGATCATTGTAGCTGCCTGACTGGGCTCCCTAGACTTTCTGAGAAGCAGACCATGTTGCCAGTTCGGTGTGACTTTAGGTCAGTTACTTAATCTCTCTAAAGCGCAGTTTGCTTGCTGTAAAATAACAGCAGCTCTCATTTACTGAGCTGCTACTATGTGCCTGGAACTTTCCATACCTTAATGAATTGTGTCCCCACCACCTAGCTTCAAAAATTATCAACAACTCATTGATGGTCGTGCTCCATCTCATACTGCACCCTCACTTCGTCCACATACTCCCATAACTGGATTATTTTAAAGCAATTTCTGATACCATATCATTTATAGGTACCATCTGGCACCTATAAATATTTTTATAGGTACCTTCAAGAGATAAAATATCCATAATGCTATCATCATACTTAAAAATTCACCAATAGGGGCCGGCCTGGTGATGCAGCGGTTAAGGTCGCACGTTCCGCTTCAGCAGCCTGGGGTTCACTGGTTCAGATCCTGGGTGCAGACATGGCACCACTTGGCAAGCCATGCTGTGGTAGGCGTCCCACATATAAAGTAGAGGAAGATGGGCACAGATGTTAGCTCAGGGCCAGTCTTCTTCAGCAAAAAGAGGAGGATAGCAGCAGATGTTAGCTCAGGCCTAATCTTCCTCAAAAAAAAAAAATAATTCCTTCATATCATCTAATATCCAGTCAGTGTTCCCATTTGTGAGTATCTCACAAATGTCTTTTTATAGTTGACTTGTTCTAATCAGCTTCCATACAAAGTTCATACTTTATATTTGATTGAAATGTCTCAAGTCTCTTTTAAACTGTAAGTTCCTCCTCCCTCTGGTTTTTTTTCTTGCTATTTATTTGTTGAAGGAACAGGCTCATATGCCCTATAGAATTCCCCACAGTCTGGATTTGACTGATTGTAGCCTTGCGATGTCCTTTAATTTGCTTCTCTGTCCCTGGTGTTTCCAGTAAACTGGTAGTTACAGCTAGAGGTTCGATCAGGTTCAAGCTCAATCTTTTTGGCAGGAACGCTTCCTAGGTGGAGCTGTGTACTTCCCATCGCGTCACCTCAGGAGACACATAACATCTGATTGCCTCAGTTGTTAAGATTGTTCAGTGGGTTCCAACGCTGTTAGCCTGATCCAGTCACTGGAAGATCCCCCGATGGTTTAGCTGCCGCTGTTGGTCGTTGCACGGATTGGGGGCTGCAGAACAGTGACGATACTCGAATTTTTATCACTCTTTCTGCATTTATTAACTGGAGTTCGCTGATTAAAAAACCCAAAACACAGCTTTCCCTCATCAACTGTTTGGTTTCTCTAGGGTATAATTTAGACAAAATGAGCGTCGATGCTGCTTTCCCTGTAAGTTTTCAGAATATTCAGTTAACCATACTTGTTCAGATTTCGTCCCCACCACAACCCTGGCTAAACTGATTTCACAGGTGAGGTCCTGGAGACTGGCAGAGGTCAAGAGACTTGCTCAGCCTCACACAGTAAGGGGCCGAGCTGGGATGCCAACTTGGGTCTGGCCATCCCTGAAGCCTGTGATCTTTCCACAAAGGCCACAGTGTCTTCTCTGACCGCCTTCTGATTTGACAACTGTTGCAAATTATGGAAGCACTTGGTTGGGGCTAGCTCCGTGGCCGAGTGGTTAAGTTCGCGCGCTCTGCTGCGGCAGCCCAGGGTTCGGATCCTGGGCGCGGACATGGCACCGCTCGTCAGGCCACGTTGAGGCGGCGTCCCACAACCCACAACTAGAAGGACCTGCAACTAAGATATACAGCTGTGTACAGGGAGGGTTTGGGGAGATAAAGCAGAAAAGAAAAAAAAAGATTGGCAACAGTGGTTAGCCCAGGTGCCAATCATTAAAAAAAAAAAACAAAAAGGAAGCACTTGGTAAACCGAGAAGGTAGGGCTTGACATTTTTGACCGTTAGCATTGAGGCTTCCTTGAAACACACAGACGTTTCACTGTGTGTGTCCTGACTTCCCAGCTAACAGGGAGCTCTGTGGGCAGGGCCATGCCACACGTGGTCAGTGGTCACCACCTCACCTGGTGTAGTAATGAACCCTGGGACTGCCCTCCACTTTTTTTTCGAATTCTCCCTGTGTGAGCCACACCCGCTAACAACTTTGACTACTTCCTGACCTTACACCCTGATGACTGCCATCGTCAGCTCTGACTGATTTTGAGGGCTGGCCTTGAATGCCTATTCAGGCCTATTAGGCCAGGCTTCTACAGGCACCCCAGACTCTACCTGGCAAAAGCCACACCCATGTCCCCACTGCCCAAACCTGCCCTTTCTCTCCTAAACCCTATCATCTCAGTTTCTAGCGTCGCTGTTCCTCAGACTCCCCAGCTAGAGACTCAGCCGTCTTGGACCTCTACCCCCAGCCCTCCACTCCCATGTCTCAGGCTGAGGCAGATGCTGAGATGAAACTTTGGATGCAAGATGCTTATTAAGGATCAAAGGAAGGAAGCTTGTGAAAGGAAGATGGATTGGGCAGAGGGAGAAGTTGAGCTGTGACGCAGGCCCGACCAAGCACCGGCTGACGGGTGGGGAGCTCTGCAGCTGCTAGTGCCCGTTGGAATAGTCTCATGGAGGACGGAAACGTCCAGGCCTCTCTGCACACCAGGACTCTCAGCCCTCCTGCCCCACCAGCTCATCTCTCCTCCTCCTCCCATGCTTCCTGTGTTCCAGCCACACAATTCCCCAGATAGATAGGCCACACCTCTGTGCCATTATGTAGACTGCTTTTTCCTTGGAACATGCTTTCCCCACTTCTGTCTTCTCCATGAGCTTCTCAGACATTCCTCCCCCTTACCTTCCCAAGGAAGAATAAATCCCAAAGTTCTCTGCACACACCCATTACAGCACAGGCCACACTATGTTACATTTTGGTCCCCCCACCCCACCCCCCGACCACCAGCTTCTGGAGGACAGGAACCCCGCACTACTCAGCTCTGGGCCCTGGCTCCCAGCAGACAGCCTGGCTCTCAGTGAACATTGGCGGGTGGTGGCGAACTGAGTGATTGTGGTTACACAGAACCAATTCACAACAGCTTGTCGGATTTAAAATTTCGCCATAGAGCTCCCAAAAAAAGAAATGGATATTGAATTTAAGAGATGTATTTCAACATTTCTATTTTATTTAAGAACTTGCTTTTTTGTTGTGAGAAAAATACAAAATTCATTTTGCAAAATTCACCCAGATAAATGATCAAAGTCCCATGTGGTACAAAATACCTTTCCCAAATGGAATAGATGGAAGAGGAAGATTTCCACCCCACACAGCACATGCAGAGGAAGGATGCCACAAGGCACGGAGGCCGAGGTTGGGGGGGGAGCGTGGGAGAGTTCTGAATACAAGGCCAACTGTGAGGCCTCAGGCAAGACACACCTCTCAGGTCATCAGGTTAATGCCGGTAAAATGGGTTGGTTTCAAAGCCTCTTTTTCTTACCTTTTTTTTTCTTTTTGAGAAAGATTAGCCCTGAGCTAACATTTGCTGCCCATCCTCCTCTTTTTGCTGAGGAAGACTGGCCCTGAGCTAACATCCGTGCCCATCTTCCTCTACTTTATATGCGGGACACCTACCACAGCATGGCTTGCCAAGCGGTGCCATATCCACACCCGGAATCTGAACCAGCGAACCCTGGGCCGCCGAAGTGGAACATGTGCACTTAACCGCTGCGCCACTGGGCCAGCCCCAGTAGACTTTATTTTTAAAAAGAGTTTAAAAAAACTGAGCAGAGGGGCCGGCTCTGTGGCCGAATGGTTAAGTTCGTGCGCTCCGCTGCGGTGGCCCAGGGTTCGGATCCTGGCTGAGGACATGGCACTGCTCATCAGGCCACGTTGGAGCGGTGTCCCACATCCCACAACTAGAAGGACCTGCAACTAGGATATACAACTGTGTACAGGGGGGTTTGGGGAGATAAAGCAGAAAGAAAAAAAGAAAAAAAGGAAGATTGGCAACAGTTGTTAGCCCAGGTGCCAATCTTTAAAAACAACAAAAACAAAAAAAAAACTGAGCAGATAGGACAGAGTTCCCATACACTCCTCTCCCCAGCAGTTTCCCCTGTCTTAGCTTGATTTCGTGTTAGTACAATGTTCGCAGGTTTATCTGTAGGATAAATTCCTAGACATGGGATTGCTTTGGTCAAAGGGTAAATGCATTTGTACTTTTAGTAGATGAGTAGACGAGGGGATTGTCCCATTGTGAACTCCCACCGGCCACGTGTGAGAACGGGAGCCCCTTTCAGCTCTAGCGGTTTTTATTCTCTCTCCTTCCCAGGACTCAGGCCCAGTGGGTAACTTGGTGGGGAGTTTTTCTAAGATGTGGGCTCCTAAACTGGCCACAGCCAGCTGTGCCACATGCAGGAGAGCTCAAATCAGACAGAAACAGCTCTCAGGCAGAACTTCCAGGCCACCCTACACAGGCATCCTCCACGTTCTGTGAGACCCTGAGGCTTCCAGAATCATGTTTCCCTGGAACCACCCTCTCCTACAGGTGCAGCCGAGCCTCGCGATGACCTGTGCTTGCCTGGTACCTAAAAGCAAAGGGCCAGACCAGCTGTGCTGTCCACTACAGTTGCCACTTGCCCCAAGTGCCTATTTAAATGTCAAATAATTAAAGTAGAAACTCAGTTCCTGAGTCCCACCGGCCACATTTCAAGTGCTCAATAGCCACAGTTGGCTAGTGGCAAACATATTGGAAAGCACAGACCTGGAACATTCCGATCCTCGCAGGAAGTTTTACTGGATACTGATGCTCTAGAGAGGTGACCCTTTATTTGGGGCTATTAAAAACGAGAAGAATGACAACTAAATGCAAGGTGTGATCCTGGACTGGATCCTGGTCCAGAAAACGGACGTGAATGGCTCAACTGACAAAATTTGAATAAGGTCTGAAGATGGGTTAACAGTGTTGCATCAGTGTTAATTTTCTTTTGTTTTCTTTTGAAGATTGGCACCTGGACTAACAACTGTTGCCAATCTTTTTTCTTTTTCTGCTTTATCTCCCCAAACCCCCCTGTACACAGTTGTATATCTTAGTTGCATGTCCTTCTAGTTGTGGGATGTAGTGTTAATTTTCTGATTTTGAAAATTATATTGTGATTCTGTCAGATGTTAACATTGGGGGAAGCTGTATTGTGAAAAGTATTTGGAAATTCTTTGTACTATTTCTGCAACTTTTTTGTAAGTGTAATTTCAAAATAAAAAGTTTTAAAACTTCAAAAAATGTAAAATGAGAGAAAAAGGAGAGTGTGTGCCTCCTGGAACTGTCAAAGTGTACAGATAAGCTTGTGAAGAGAAACAGTGGTGGAGTAAGCGCAGCATTCATAAAGTCCCGTGAATGAGTTAAGGACGGTCCCTTCTGTAAGTGATGGGTGGAGCCCTTTCCCCAGGTCGGGGAGACAGAAATGCTGATGAGTTTGGCACCTGACCTCACCACCTGATTAGCTGCTTATCTATCCAGATCCCCAGTGTCTTCTCTGAAAAGAGGCCCCTTGCATCTCAGGGGACTGCTGCGAGGCTCCGAGGAGAGAATGGAGATGAAATTGAGCTGAGAGCTGCAAAGGACCATACCTGTGGGAAGGGATGAGCTGCAAAACCTGAAAGAGGGCCCTGGAGCAACGCTGGTGAAAAAGATGACGAACATGGGCTGCTCGTCCTGCATGACTGTGCGTTTCAGTAGAAGCAGCTGGAGATCTGTTAACAACGATTTTTAAAAAGCCCTTAAATGGTGGGCCTCTTCTGTTCGGTGGCCCCATTCTGAGGTCCTATGCGCCTGAAGGTCTGGCCCCTCCGGTTACATGGCTGTGCACCTCCTGGGGGCACTGGGGTCTGCATTTGCTTTCTTCCTGATGCTTTCTGCAAAAGACGAAAATCCTATGGCCTCATGTTGCCCAAGCTCTGCCTCACAGAGCTGGTTTTAGGTTTTAATTGCCTGCCAGATGTGTTAAAAGAAGATGCAACAATAATATTTAAGAACATTTTGGAAAAAGAAAAGAGTCATGCCCAACTCCTCCACTCTGAAATGACTGTTTTTTCACAGCTGCCGCAGGCAAGGTCGCCACCATGCAAGGGGCTTTCCATTCTCCCCTCAATAACAAGCTATCAGTGATTTTCCTGTTACCGCACGACTGCCACAGCCTTTATTACTATGGGTGACTGCCTAATACCCATCCTGTGGTCGCCCTGCAACCCACCCTGCCAATGGACATGATGGTGTTAAGGCTTTGTCATCATGAGCTGTTCTTCTTTAAAATGAGGGATTAGCACTAGACCCTTTTATCCCACTTGCCTGATGGTTCCATGGGATGCCCTGAATTCCAAGCCAGGATTAGAGATTGACAGACTCAAATAGGTTGTGGTGGCCTCAAAATTTTTATTTGACCAGATCTGATTGGTTCAACTGATATTAAGCTAGTTCTGGCCCATATGTCTTAATGTCTGTGAAAAAGAAGTCTGCTGGCTGTTCCAGCCTTACTCCAAATTGGAAGAAAAAAAAAGGTATAGAGGGCTGGAGAGAAAGAGATGATAACATCTGTGGCTTTGGGGCTATGAAGGTCACAGGTCCTCTGGGTCCTCTGGGCCAATACCTGCATTGCACAGATGGGGAAACCAGGGCCAGGAGGCACTGTGATTTCCCCAAGGCTCCGCCTGAGTTCCAGAAGGAGGTAGAACCAGGACTAGGAGTCTGGAAGGATCAGAGCTCACATCACATCACTGTGGTCTGAGGAGCCCTTTGGGGGCCCTGCTGCATTCCAGCAGGGCCATGCAGCTCTGACCTTGGGGCCTGGCCCTGCCCTGAGCAGGAGCCGGGCAGAGGACACTCTTACCAGCCAGGTCCCTCCTGCTAATGGCCACAAGGCCCTCGAACAGTGCTTTGCTGGGGTTCTCGCTGGCAGTGGTCACACCATGCAGCCAGATGAGCAGCATCCGGTGGCCATGCTCCCGGTAGCTCTTGGTGCCTGAGGACCATGAGAGGAAAAGGAGAAGGAGCCATCGTGGTGTGCCTTACAGGAGCCAGGTCTGAGCACGTGTCTTTGCCACCCTGTATGGCCTCCTGAACACCAGGCCCTTCTGAACATTAGGCCAGAGATGGGGAGGGGAGAGGAGGAGCAGCCTCAGATGGGGTGGGGGCAGGGGTTTTGTGTCAGGGACCCTAGAACCTCCCCTGCCCCAGGCTTTCTCTTGAGCATCCACCATATATCCTCTGGGTGTCACTCTGAAGAGAGAAAGCATTGGCATTCATTATGGTACCACGACGCACATTACTATACGTTTCACCTCTTTGGCTCCTCACAAAATCTGTGGCCCTATTTTACGGATGAGAAAACAGCTTAGAGACAGAGCTGGCCACATTCTTCCCCCTGCAGTAGTGGTTCTCAACTCTTAAATGCTCACTAGAAACGCCTGGTGAGTTTTAGAAAACACTGACACCAGCACCCCCTAGCCCCCGCCCGAGATTCCGATGTACTTGGGTCTGGGTGCAGCCCGGGGTCTGGGTGAGTGGTGCTAAAGCTCCCCGGGTGATTCCAATGGACAAGCATGTTTGGAAAATAAGCGCCCACACTCTTCAGAGTGGGTGTGGGGTTAACCTGCTAAATAAACTCTGCGACCAGGTCTGCTGTCCTGGCTGCGGACACACATGCTTGAGCACAGCTGTCAGGTCCACATCAGTCTGTTCACTGGTCCTCCGACCTTCCGCCACTTTTGGGCCCTCAGCAGACACTTCCTCATGGTGCTGCCCTTGGTGCGGCAGTCTCACTTGACCCAATTGTCTCAACTTCCATTTATTCACTAGCCCTTGCCCTCAGCCCTATAATATAGAAGTGCTCCTTTATCGTCCTTGAAAGTTCTTATCTGTTATAGAGCTTTTCTCACTTTTGGACTCCCTGCTCTATTCCACTAAGAGATTTGCATGTTGTTGTGTCAGGCGTCTCTCTAGGTTAATTATTTTAGCTTTCTAAGCAGTTAAGTCTGGTTGGGTTAGACGCTCTTCACTATTTTTCCCCAGAATGTTCATTTATATATTCCTTGTTTATTCTTTCAGAAGAACTGCAGAATCCTTTAGTCAAGTTTCAAAAACCTCCTATTTTCATTTGATTAAAACTGGATCAAAGTTTTAATCCAATTTGGGAAAAATCAATATCTACACGATATTTCTCTTAGGAATACAGAATGTCATTCCACTTACCCATCTTCATCTACAGTTCAACTAATTTTTATTGTATTATTCATATGTGGCATTCGTATTTCTTTTTAAGATTTTCCAGATGAAACTATTATAGATGGAATATTTTTTTAAATACCTTTATATATTTTGCCCACTTATTGATGGAACAGAGGAATACTATGGTGTTTGTATATTTTATCATATATTCAGCTATTTCATTGAATTATTTTATTCTGAGTTTTCACGACTCTGGACTTCCTATATATAATTATAGCATCTGAAATTAATAAATCTCTCTCTTGCTTTCCAATATTTACACTCCTTATTTCTATTTCTGCTTCATGCCTTAGTAGCAGGGCCAAAATTTCCAAATACATGTTAAATAATAGCGCCGACAGCAGCTCTTCTCCTCTTTGCAGGGAATGCCTTTAGCTTAGTGTGGGAATGATGGGTATCAGCTCGGGCTGATTCACAAGAATGTGAAGTTCACGGGTCAATGGGGAGGGAGAGGCAGAGGGCACAGCCTGCGCAAATGCCTGGAAGAGGGAACAGTCTCTCAGTGTGTTGGAAATGGCACGTGGTTTGGTGTGGCTGGGCTGCGGGTTGCACAGGCTTTTTCCACAGAAGCACAAAAACCTGAACCCACCTCGATCGCCCCACCCCTCCACCCTCCTGTTGCTCTGGTTGGGAGAGGCAAGGTGGTACCTGTCCACTGCTGCTCGATGGCGTGGACGTGGGCCTCGCTGAACTCCCAGCAATACGCGAGCTTCTTCCATTCATGGGGCCGCAGGTACCTGGAGGCCAATCGCCACAGTACCGAACGGAGCTGCTGTGTTTCCTGCCGATGGTCCTGCTTAAAGGTCAAGCTCTTCCCAGAGGGGTCACTGGGATCCCTGCATGAGAGGTGGTCCTGTGGGGCACATCCCAAAATGCAGTGGCCATCTGGGGGAAATCTCTCCCAGCCTCTCCCTTGTAAGCCTGGACAGAGAACTGGCGTCATCGCAGGCCTGGGGCTTAATGTCCACTACTCTGGTTTCTGACTCTGCGCCTTGCCGTGACCTCTGGAACCCGAGGTGCTCACACTGTTCCTCCATCCAGAATTCCTCTTCTCACCTCCCTGTCCTTAACCCCATTGTCAGAGTCAAAAGACCACCCACATGCCACCTCTTCCAGGAAGCCTTCCCAATTCCTCTCTTTTCTCTGTGTTCTTATAGCATGCGTGTCAGTAGAATGACTCAGAAGCTGTGGCTAAAATCAGGCGAGCAAGAATCAGGCACCGGACTTGCTGAACACCAATGAGTAGTAAAGGGTAGGCTACAGAATTCTTTCTATGCAAACCAGGTGATAAAATGAGAGGTTGCAAAAGGATTGTGTGATAGCATAAATTAAACCCACAAAAGCCTAAGTAAGCCCCTCTAAAGGAAGTGGATGCAGAGTTTGGGCTGTTAAAAAGCTTGGGATGGGGAAAATCACCATGGTGTCGGCAGCTCTGAATCTTACATCCTAGCCAACGGTGTCTGGCCAGTCACCTGTGAGGGGATGACCTGGGGGCTTGGCTGTTGCCCTGGGTGGTAAAAACCATTTCCCTAGAGCAGTGTTCTCAGCAGTGTCTACACATTGGGGTCATCTGGGAGCTTGAAGAACCACTGATGCTTGGCCCTCATCCCAGAGACTCTGACAGAATTGGTCTGGGGGTCAGGGGGGTGGGGGGGACTTCTGATCCTAACGTGCACCGCGGGCTCAGTGTGAGAACTTTTAAAGGCTGATGTGGTTTAGAATTAAGCACAGGGATAAATCATACGAGAATCTAGCATATCAGAGAAAGAGAATATCTTGTGATTCCTGTGGAATTTGTTATCGATAACTAATTTGGGGATAGTGATTTTTTTAATTTGAGAAGTGTAAGAGAAGTTTACTAAGTTTGTAAACAATATTGGAAGGTTTAAGAGATTTGAGATTCACTTTATTTATAGGTTTAATTTACTGGATTTACTAGGATAATTTAAGAATTTAGGAAGCATTTGAAATGCTTAAAAAATCTATTATATTAGATTTCATTCCATTTAAAATGTTCAGAGTAGTTTAATTAAGTTTAAACATGGCACTACACATTAATCAAAAAGCTTCCTTGAAAATAATTGTTATAATTTACTACTTGTGTAACTAGAATAATAAGATTTATAAAATGAATTTAAAAGTTTATGGAAAACTAGGTTTTGTAATTTGCAATTTAATATTAATTTTTAAAACTGAAGTAAATGCAAAAATTATTTTCTTTGTATAAAAACAACCCTCAAAGACACCAAAAAACTCCCCACCCAACCCTCATTGGCTGACAACTGGATTAGCAAAAGCATAGCCTTACATTCTGCCACTCCTCTTCCCCAACTCCACAGCAGACATCACTAATCAATCCCAGCACACTTTCCTTCTGGGCTCAGAAAGTTACCTGAACGCAACATCCCAAGCAGTAGTTCCAACCACCTGGAGATGGCAGTGAGAGGGAACCAACTAGCCACATCTTTATTCACACATGCATGCATGCATTCATCCACCAACTAGAAGCCACAGCAGTGCCCAGTAGTATCCCCACACTGGCATGGACCACAGTTGGCCTCGTTTCAGTGTGGTCTGGATGCTCACCCATCTCCAAATGCTCACAAACAACCCCGCTGCTAGATAAGGCAGGGATTATCACCCCCTTGGAAAGTGAGGGGCCCCTGAATTGGTCAGGGCTGCGGTCCAAAGCCAGTTTCACAAAGAGCCATGGCCGCTCCCTTTCCAACACGGAGAGACCAAGCTCAGGGTCTCAATACCTTCTCCCATCTGTAGAAACGATCGGCTTTTATGATAATGTCCACCAGGCTGACGTGGTTGCTGCGGGCGGCCACTGCCAGGGCGGTTTTTCCTTGCTGCAAGTAAGAAGAAGGAAGGGAAGCCAGAGTTTCCACAGGAGGAGGGTAGTGTAGCCTTTAGCACTGACTACAAACCCTCCAGACCAAAGAAAGTGGTCTCCAGCAGTCTACCCTGGAGAGCAGAAAGGCTTTCTGGGCATGTCGAGGCATGTGGGAAAGTCACAGGTAGAATAAGGCAATAACGATAATTCCAGCAACCATCTTGTGTGTTTCTGTAGAATTTAGGAAGTCTTAGAGCTTATGAAACTCAGCTCGCATAACTCTTCAACATCACCTGTGAAATAGGCATTACCAGTCCTATTTCTCAGATGCAACCAGAGCCCAGAGAAGGGGCTTGGGCTCATCATATCAAGTGTGCTGGCCTCCCCTCCCCTCAAGGCTCCCAGCCCTTTGCTCCAGGCCTCCTGCCTGGTGCTGGCCCCAACGACTCTCAGGGACCCAAGGGGTGATAGAAAGCTCCTCTTTGCATTGGGTCAGCTGCCCTGGGGCCCAGTTCAAAGCAGGGATCTCCTCCCAGGTCATGCAAGCACCCTTCTCCTCACGAACCTGTGACCTCTGTAGCCTCATACCAAGTCTTCACTCTTCTCTGACCTCCAGCCACCTGAGGAGGTAGCCACCCCAGAGGCACAGTGAGCTGGGAAGTTTCCCCCACCCCTGTCCCACCCGCAAGGTGTTGTAGGGTGACGTGCCCTCTTCCATTCCTTCTCCCCCGTCCCCACCTGCTGACTCAAGGAACTCAAAGTCTGATGGGGACCATGAAACAGAAGACAACCATGTCACACGCCTGGACCAGGAGAGGGGCAGACCGTGTGTTGAGGGACCTCAGAGGAGGCAGGGAAAGGTGGTGCAGGGGCAGGAGGTTTCCTGGAGGAGGCAGCATTTGAGCTGGTGTATAAAGGATAGGAGGCCTTGAATACTCTGAAAGCAAGAGACATTTGTAGCAGGGTCTCTGGCAAAGAGGGAGCCATGAACACTTGAAAGGGAGGTGGGTTGTGAGCAGAAGTACCTTATCTCTCAGGTTTAAGTTAACCCCAGCGACGAGAAGCATCTCAGCTATGTCCTGCCAGGCGTGCTCAGCAGCAAGGTGGAGGGGCGTCTGCTGCCTCTGGAGTAGAAGACAAGGAGACAGAGAGCAGAAAAGCATGAGGGTGGCCCGTGGCTCAAAGCCAGAACAGGACCAAGGTGGGTACATTCCCAACGGGGCTTAACAAAGTTTCTCTAAGAAATTATGGGGGTGGGGTAAACTGGGTTCAATCACAACCATAATATTCACCAGGGAAAATTTGGTAAAAACAAAAAAGTAAAGAGAATAAAAAATATCACTTGTTGATCCTAGTATGTTTCTTCTAGTCTTTTTTTTAATGCAGAATATTCTTAGTTGGTTGGTTTTACATATTTGAGATCATCCTATATACATACATTTGGCATCTATTTTTCTACCTAACATATCATTTTCCGCATGATATAAACTCTGATAAACGCTATTTTTAATAGCTCCATAATTACATGTCCGTACTATAATTTACCTACTACTCCTCCACTACTAAATATTTGGGTCATTTTCAAATTGAAGACTGATAAACAATGCTGCAAGGAATATCTTTGTGCACGAGCTTTTAATGTATTTCTTGAGGCTCAATTCCCAGAAGTACAAATACTGATCGTTTTAAAGGCATATGATATATCCTGCCAAACTGCTTTCCAGCGCTCGTGGTTGTGCGTTGGCTCTGAGCGCTGCATGGTTGGGGGTGGGTTGTGGGGGCAGGGATTTCAAAGGGCTTCTGACATCACAACTTCAGGACGTGGAGCCTCTTGTTACCCAAGGCTGGCCCAGTCACCCTGCTCTGGGAATTTTCCCTAAGGAAAAATAAAATCAATGAAAGGAAAAGGTTGAAGGTAGGAAGATGTTTACCGCAGGGTTATATATATCATGGCAAAAACTTGGAAATAACCAAAATGTTTAAAATTGGGGATGGTTAATAAAATAATGCTACTCTCAACAAATATTCAAATGCTTTTTACAAGCTAAAAATGCAATTCCTCATCTCTGGGCCACGCTGGTAGACTGCAGCCAAGCCCTGCCAGCTTGGGAGGGTGCCCAAGGCTCCTTGGGGCCCAGATGGTTTCTGCGGCCACTTACATTGTCGGTGGCATCCAGGTCACTGCCGGCGTCGATGAGGAGCTGCACCAGGGCAGGGAAGTTGTGCCTCACAGCGAGGTGCACAGGAGAGGCACCCTGCTGAGGGGGGAGACACAGGATCAACTGACGGGTTCCCCTCGGGTCCGCCCTGCTGCAGGCTGGTGCTGGGGGATGGGCTTAGGGACGGGTATGGTGTTTCTGGGTTTGGCCCCTCTCCTTCTCAGATGGGTGGCCTGAGGCATTTACAGCCCTGGAGCCTGAACCCCTGAGCCCAAAATGGATCCTCAAGGTGGGCGGGGACTTGAAGAGCCAAGTTTGAGACTTCCTATGCCAGGAACTCACAACGTGACTTCAGGCAAACCATTTCCTCTCTCTGCTACTCATTATCCGGCAAGTGATGTTTGCTGAGGTCCCTTCTAGCAACAACACCTTCGTGTTCTCTAATCTCTCATTTAATCCACACAGGAACCTAGGAAGTTTATAGCAATGGTATTCTTATTGGCATTTCCATCTTACAAACGGGCACTCTGAGTTTCAGAAAACTTAAGCAACTTGCCCAAGGACACGTAGCTAATAGAGACCTTGTATTATAAGACTTTCTACCCCCAGCACCTAGGTAGGTGCTGATAACTATTTAAGTATGAAATGAAAGAATGAGAGAGCAGCCAGGACCAGAACAGAGATCTCAGTCCAAGTCCAACACTCATGGCAGGCCTCGCTCAAGACGCCATCCCCCGTGGTCCCCGGGGACCCGACTACATGACAAAGTGGAGGTACTGCCACACCATCCCTCTCTCTAGGTGATACAGTGATACACATCCTGTGGAATAGTACAAAGCCAGTAAAATCAATGGTATAGAGCTATACTTATTGTGGGAAAACACCCTCACACATCGAGTATAAAAAGGTTACAGAACAGAATACACACACACACACAACAACAACAAGAATGCCCACTATTGCCATTACTAGTTTAGGCCAAAAAAAAAAGGGGTTAACAATATTAGAAAAGAAGATTTTAACAATACCATTATTTGTAGGCAATGTGATTGTATACCCAGACAGGTTAAAATAGTTATTACCCCCGCCAAAAAAAAAAAAAAATCCTAGTAGAATTAATAAAAAAGTCATATAGAAGATAAAAACACCCAAGTCAATAGCATTCCTGTATTGAATGCCTACAAAAAATGACATATAATTTTAAAAATATATTCTATTCACAATGACAGCCAAAAAATATAAAGTCTATGAAAGATATCATTGGAAATGGATATGACAAAGGCAAACCAAAAGCTATATAATATCACTGAGGGATGTAAAAGAAGACAGAAAGAAATGGCAAGAGACCATGTTCCTGGTGAAAAAACAAAATATTATAAAGATGATCATTTTCTCTTATATTATTTACAGGTTTAATGTAATCCCAAACCCAAATTTCAATAAATGCCAAAAAGTATTCTAAAACACATCTAGAAAAAAATTTAGGACCAAGGTAAAACCACGATAGAATTTCAGCAGTGTCCTCAGAACACTGCCAGACAGTCGTGAAATCAAAATCAGGCCAAGAGAAGGTTCGTTGTGAGAGTGATGCATGACTCGATGAGCCTGGAGACTGAGAGCCACAATGTGGCTCCTGGAAGCAGCGGACGATGGAGTTACAATAACCAAATATGCTGGACATGGCCTCTGTCGTCCTGGAAACAGATCAGGGGGAATGTGGTGGGAAAGTGGAGTGGAAAGAAAGCAAGTATTGCCTATAATTCTTTTACATTTTATTTATAAAAACCAAAAGAACCAAAGGTATCTAGTGAAAAGCCTTCTTCCCGCGCCCACCACCCACCTGCTCAGTTCTCCATACTCCCCACTCCCACTGCTAGCCTCTGTCACTGCTCTTATCCTTCCAGAGACTTTTTTAATGTATATACAAGCAAAACCTTTTTTTAATTAAATTTTTATTTTGAGATCATTGTAGATTCACATGCAGTTAAGAAATAAGATGGAGAAATCTGGTGTATCCTTTACCCAGCTTCCCCCAGTGGTAACATCTTACAAACCAGAGGACAATCTGCCAACCAGGAGACTGACACTGACAATATCCACCGCCTTATTCAGATCTCCCCAGTTTCACCTGCACTCATTTGTATGTGTGTGTGTTTAGTTCTATGCAATTTTATCACTTGTAAGTATGTGTATTTACTACGTAGTCAAGAAATAGAAGAGTTCCATCACCACAAGGATCCCTTGTGTTGTCCTTTCATAACCACATCCTCTTCCCTCCCCTGCCCCAATCCCCACTCCTAATCCCCAGCAACCACTACCACTAATCTGTTCTCCACATCTTTTTTTTTTTTTTTTTTTTTGAGGAAGATTAGCCCCGAGCTAACATCTGCCGCCAATCCTCCTCCTTTTGCTGAGGAAGACTGGCCCTGAGCTAACAACTGTACCCATCTTCCTCTACTTTATACGTGGGACGCTTGCCACAACGTGGCTTGACAAGCAGTGCATAGATCCACACCTGGGATCTGAACTGGTGAACCCTGGGCCGCCAAAGCAGAACATACAAACTTAACCACTGCACCACCAGGCCAGCCCCTGTTCTCCACTTTGATTTTGTTATTTCAAGAATGTTATACAAGTGGAACCATACAATAAGTAACCTTTGGGACTGGCTTTTTTCACTCGACATAATCTCCTGAAGATCCGTCCGGAGTTGTTGCATGTGCCAGTAGTTTCTTCCTTCTTATTGCTGGGTTGTGTTCCACAGTATGGATATACCACAGTTTCTTTTACCATTCACCTTTTGAAGGATATCTGGGTTGTTTCCAGTTTTTGGCTATTATGAAAAAAGCTGCTATTAACATTCAAGTACAGGTTTTTGTATGAATATAAGTTCTCATTTCTCTGAGATAAATTCCCAAGAATGCAACTGCTGGGTCACATGGTAATTACATGTTAAGTCTCAGAAACAACTCCAAAACTGTTTTCCAGAGTGGCTGTGTCATTTTACATTCCCACCAGCAATGGAGGAGTAACTCAGTTTCTCCACATCCTTGCCAGCCTTTGATGTTAACGTAGCAATCTCTCAGTGTGGTTTTAACTTGCACTTCCCTAACAGCTAATAATGCTGAACATCTTTTTATGTGCTTATTTGCCATCTGTCTATCCTCTTCAGCGAAATGTCTCTTCATGTCTTTTGCCCATTTTCTAAATGATTTTTTTTTACTGTTGAGCTTTGAGAGTTCTTTATATATTCCACATGATTGCCTTTGTAAGATATGCGATTTGCAAATATTTTCTTTTGGTCTGTGACTGTTTTTTCATCCTCTTAACAAGATCTTTTGGAGAGCAGAAAGTTTTTAATTTAATGAGGTCTTCAATTTATCAATTTTTTCCTTCCACGGATTGCATCTGTGGTGTCGTCTGACAACTCTTTGCTTAGTCCTAGATCCTGAAGTTTTCCTCCCATGTTTTTTTCTGAAAGTTTTATATGTTTACATTTAAGTCAGTAATGCATTTTGAGTTAATTTTGTATAAGATATGAGGATTCGGTCAAGGCTCTTTTTCTGCCTGTGGATGTCCAATCGCTCCAGCACCATTTGTTGAAAAGGCTATCTAACCTTCCTCCACTGAATCGCTTTGCACATTTGTCAAAAATCAGTTGGGCATATTTGTGTGGGTCTCTCATCCTTTTTCTTTTTTTTTTTTAAGCATACTATTCATTGTTCTGCAGTTTTTTTTGTTTGTTTTTTTAAAGATTTTATTTTTCCTTTTTCTCCCCAAAGCCCCCCAGTACATAGTTGTGTATTTCTAGTTGCAGGTCCTTCTAGTTGTGGCATGTGGGATGCCTCCTCAGCATGGCCTCATGAGCGGTGCCATGTCTGCGCCTAGGAGTGGAACTGGCAAAACCCTGGGCCGCCGAAGCGGAGCGCGTGAACTTGACCACTCGGCCACGGGGCCGGCCCCTTGTTCTGTAGTTTTAAATAAACTTTTTATTTTAGAATATATTTAGTTTTACATAAAAGTTGCAAAGATATTACAGAGTTCCCATATACCCCACACCCAATTTCCCCTATCATTAACATCTTACATTAGTATAGTAATTTTGTCATAATTAATGAACCAACGTGACAGTTTCTCAGACATTCATTGTTTTTGATGACCCTGACAGTTTTGAGGAGTACTTATCAGTATTTGATAGACTGTCTCTCAATTGGGATTTGTCTGATTTTTTTCTCATGATTAGACTGGGTTTATGGGTTTAGGGGAAGAAGACTACAGAGGTAAAGTGTCATTTTCCTCACACCATATTAAGGGTACATAGTGTCGACATGATTTATTAGTGTTGATGTCGGCCTTGACCACCTGGCTGAGGTAGTGTTTGTCAGCTTTCTGTAAGGTTACTCTTTTTTCCCCTTCCCATACTGTATTTTTTGAAAGGAAGTGGCCATGCGAAGCCCACACTTAAGGAAGCCGGAGTTATGCTCCAGCCCTTGAGGTCGGAGTGTCCACATAAACTATTTGGAATTCTTCTGCATGGAAGATGTGTTTATTCTCCTCCATTTACTTATTTATTCAGTCAATCACTTATTTAAATCAGCATGGCCTCATACATACTTATTCCTTGGAATATAATTATCTGTTTTGTTGCTCAAATGGTCCCAGCTTTGACCACTGGGAGAAATTTCTGTTAGGTCCTGGGCCTCTTTGACATAGCCTCATCCTTGTGGAATTTTTTTCCTAATTATTTTTTAGAGCAGTTTTAGGTTCACAGCAAAATTGAGAATGTAGATATTTGCCATATACCCCCTGTCCCCCACACATTCATAGCCTCCTCATTATCAACATCCCCGACCAGTGTAGTACAATTGTTACAAGTGAGGAACCTACACTGACACATCATTATCACCCAAAGTCCATAGTTTACATTAGGGTTCATTCTTGGTGTTATACATTCTGTGGGTTTAGATAAATGTATAAGGACATGTATCCACCACTACAGTATCATACAGAGTAGTTTCCCTTCCCTAAAAATCCTCTGTGCTCCACCTACTCATCCCTTCTCCCCCCTAATCTCTGGCAACCACTGATCTTTTTACTGT